TTTTAATTAAAATTTTTAAAGAACCCTTTAATTAATGTGTATTCTACCAAATGACTACATAAAATTCATGTTGCTAGTGTTATCACTGGGTCCAATAACGATTTTATTCCCAGGTAATAAAATTGTTATTCCAGAATCTGAATGACTCTTCCTATTCTACACCAATCAGAATCCTTGTTGTCCATCAAACTCCAGCTGAAACCCCAACTCCTAGTGAAGCCTTCCTTCATCCCTAGACTGAATTAATTGTTCTTTCTCCACTGCTGTCACAGCTTGCTGCTCTTATATTTTATATCTAGACCATCATACTTTATAATGGGGTTAGCTGCAGCATCCGCATCCAATTCCTCTACTAAATCCTAAGCTTGACAGCAGGATTTTAAAAAATTTTAAAAAATTTGATTTTAGAGAGAGAGGAAGGGAGAGGGAAAAGAGAGGAAAGGGAAAGAGAAACATCGATTGGTTGCCTCCCATACTTGGCCTGACTGGGGCAGGAACTGAACCTGCAACCCAGGTTTCTTTGATCAGAAATAAAATCCGTGACCCTTTGGTACTGACCACTGAGCACACTGGCCGGGAAATTCCCTACTGGCTCCTTTTCTAGTTTTCTCTCATTGTATTTGAATTAAAGCTGTATTTTTTTCATTTGCTTATTGTCTTTATCCCTAAATATAAAGGAAATTCCCAGAGGGCAGGGGCTGTGTCTTTTTTGTTCATTGCATCTCTATCTTTTGGCACATAGTGAAGGTAGTTAAGGATAAGGATAGGTAGTTTGTCACTGGAGGAATGGAAAGGTGCCCTATTGGGTAAATCTAAGTAGAATGGCCACTTCTTGACCAGTCTATGTGGCCAGGGAGAGAAGAAGGTCTTGAAAGAAGATGGCAAGTTCCATGCAGGTACGTTGCTGAAGCATGAGGATGAGGAATAGTTCCACAAAAGAGTAGCAGCACAAACCAGGCCCAGGGGTTACTGTGAACTAGGCACCAATCCCAATTTCTACTACACAATAACATTAATGGCTTTTCTTCCATTAATTTAGCAATTACTTTTTTCCTTAACTTGCTTAAGCTGAGTCCTTAATTTGTCATTATTGGTGGTTTGAAAAACTAGACACTTGAATTGCCCAAATATATCAAATATAGAATCTTACTTTCCTAACAAGACTAGCAAACCCAATGATTTCATGACAATTCAACCAACATTTACAGAGCACTCACCATAAATGTCCAACTTACTACAAAGAGCAGAAAAGAAGCTACCAACCATTACCCTTAACAATGAGACTATGAACTTCAGTTCAATAAAATATATTTAAAAAAACACTAATGGCTTATCTAATAGCAGACACTCTCAAATGGATATTAAAATGGTGCTTGTGGGTCAAAAGAAATCGTTGGAATTTGGCTTTAACTCCTTAAAGTGCCAAACTTAGTTGAGACTGGTGATGACAGCTGTAGATCCTTTTCCTTAGGGTAAATTTGTGACAATGAATTCAATGGTTAATCTTATGAACCAGTCACTTGTTTTGGAAACTATATAATTGCAAAAGGTAGTTTTACTAAGTAAAGCCAGCTTCAGATTAAGTTCTTCACCTTCCTGTAGTAGGCCCTCGATGGTAACAGAAGCCTGGACTATGCCATGAAAAATTAAAGCATTACCTCTTCACAGATGTGTTAATAATCTTACAATTTGCTGGAGACACAGCTACTAGTTATCACTTTGTTGGTGATATTTCTGAGGAGAAAGCAAATGGGAGTCTGAGAGCACAAATGGAGCATGGATGGGGAAACAATTTGCCTAATGCCATAAAAGGCTTCCTAACGCTGAAAGGCCTGAGAGAACAGAATAGACAGATGTTCCATTCTGGGGGATATTGTGGGGTCTGGAGGTGGGATTTGAGCAAGGAATAGAGGAAGTTGAGAAAATGGAATTTACTGGCAGAAGGAAAAGGGAAAAGATGATGACAATCAGGCCAATATTCCCCAAAGAAGAGGGACAGACTAATCAGCTTCCTTGTGGGTGGGGTTCAACCTCAACTGACAGCTGACTAAACCAGAGAACACATTCCCTTAATAGGAGGGAGAGAAAAAGGAAGACAGGAGATGTTGAAATGTCTGCCATTTATACCAGTCTGCCAAAGAGGAAGTTCTTCTTATTTTCTTCACTCGTATAAAAATATTACAAACTTCAACCCACTCCAATTAGGCATCCGTCTCCATCACACTGCAAATGTTCTTGGTCTCCAGTGACTTCTTGTATCTCATGAAAACTTTGCTGTCCTTTTTACTTGACTCCTGGGCAGAATTAGACATAGCTGGCTGCAGATCCTTCTTAAACATTTTTGCTACTGGCTCTCCTGACACCCGACTCTGGTGTTTCTCCTTCCTCACTGGCCAATATTCCAGTTGGTGATTTTCAGGCCTAGGTTCTGGGCTCTCCTTTTTAATTTCTCCCTATATGGCCTTATTCTTTCTCATGGAACTAAACTCCACCTATAAGGTTGACAATTTCTCAAATCTTAACTCCAGGCCACCATTCCTTCAAGCTTCAGACTCACATATCCAACTTCCTATACTACATCTGAACTTGGAAGTATCACAATTAACACAGCCAAAATGCTTTCTCCGTACCAAATCTGCTTGACCCACCAGTCTTCCTGCCTTAGTAATGATACTAAGTAATAGTTACTAAGTAATAGTTAATACTTAGTAATTACTAGATAATAGTAATTACTAAGTAATTACTAATAATAATAGTTACTAATAATAATTACTAATTACTAATAATAATTACTAAGTAATTACTAATAATAATAATAATTAGTAATAGCTAATACTTAGTAATTACTTAGATACTAAGTAATGATACTAAGTAATAGTTCCAATAGTTCCTGAAACGTCGAGTCATTCTTGGTTTCTCTTCCTTTCCTTCCCAACATCTAATTTCAACAGTTTTAATTCTACCTTCAAGGTGCATCTCTAATTTATATACCACTTCCAAGTTCCATTGCCAGTACTCTGGTCCAGGCAACCTTCATTTGGTACCTTGATCACTGCAATAGTTTCTACTCTTGCTCTCTTCCAATCCACTCTCCATACAACAAATAGTTTCTCATTGCACCTGGGACACTGCCTGAGCCCTTTACTAAGGTGGCCTTGTATGATCTGGCTTTTACTCATTTTATGCCATTCCCTTTGCTCACTACACAGGCCAGACACATTGGCCTTCTCTGGATACCTCAAATACATCAAAAACATTGCTGGTCCACAGCCTTTGCATTTGTTTTCCTCCTACTCTTACTAGGGTCTTCTCATCCTTCAGATCTCAATATTATTCCCCAACATCTTTTTGTTTTTTTGCTA